TGAACTTCTTGCAGAGTAAAACTAGGGGTGGCGAATTTGGGCTCCGTTTTGTTAGTTATGACGAGTCCATACCTCCGGACTTGATGGAGTGACCTGAAGGTGTAAATCGGTGATTGCAACTGGAACTCCTAGACTGGTAGAACTAGGTGTGCCGAGTTTGGGTTCGTTTTGTTAGTTACGATGAGACCTTACCACCGGACTTGATAGAGTGACCTGAAGGGGTAATTCAGTAACTACTGCTGGAATTTCTGAACGAGTAGAACTAGGTGTGCCGAATTTGGGCTCCGTTTTGTTAGTTATGACGAGTCCATACCTCCGGACTTGATGGAGTGACCTGAAGGTGTAGTTCAGTGATTACAAGTGGAAGGTGTAATTTGGTGATTACAACAATAGGAACTCCTAGACTTGTAGAACTAGGTGTGCCGAGTTTGGGTTTGTTTTGTTAGTTACGATGAGACCTTACCACCGGACTTGATTGAGTGACCTGAAGGTGTAATCAGGTGGTTACAAATGGAACTCCTAGACTAGTAGAACTAGGTGTGACGAGTTTGGTTTCGTTTTATTAGTTACGATAAGACCTTACCACCGGACTTGATGGAGTGAAATTCGGCATACCTAGTTCTACTGGTTCAGAAATTCCAGCAGTAGTTACTGAATTACCCCTTCAGGTCACTCCATCAAGTCTGGTGGTAAGGTCTCATCATAACCTACAAAACGAACCCAAACTCGGCACACCTAGTTCCACCAATCTAGGAGTTCCAGTTGCAATCACCGATTTACACCTTCAGGTCACTCCATCAAGTCCGGAGGTATGGACTCGTCATAACTAATAAAACGGAGCCCAAATTCGGCACACCTAGTTCTACTCGTTCTGAAATTCTAGCAGTAGTTACTGAATCACCCCTTCAGGTCACTCCATCAAGTCTGGTGGTAAGGTCTCATCATAACTAACAAAACGAACCCAAACTCAGCACACCTAGTCCTACAAGTCTAGAAGTTCCACTTGTAATCACCGAACTACACCTTCAGGTCACTCCATCATGTCCGGTGGTATGGACTCGTCATAACTAACAAAACGGAGCCCAAATTCGGCACACCTAGTTCTACTTGTTCAGAAATTCCAGCAGTAGTTACTGAATTACCCCTTCAGGTCACTCCATCAAGTCTGGTGGTAAGGTCTCATCATAACTAACAAAACGAACCCAAACTCGGCACACCTAGTTCCACTAGTCTAGGAGTTCCTATTGTTGTAATCACCAAATTACACCTTCAGGTCACTCCATCAAGTCCGCAGGTAGGTAAGGTCTTATTATAACTGACAAAACCAGTTCAAAGTCCAGAGCTAACATCTCACTACCAGTAGAGGGCTTCCAGTGCCAAGCAGTCTTTGGAGCAGGTATTCATATTTCGTATCGAAGTATATTTCTGAGGTAGGTATAAGAAATGAAAAACAAATTCAATCTTTCAAATTATCAAAATAATTTCATTTGACTACGATTCCCACAGCCAACCGTGCGTACACTAGTGTGTGTGTGACTTTTGTCAATGTAGTAGTGCGATTCTATACCTATCCATTTTGTAAACGCGTCCTTAATTGAAGATAAATGCAAGTGTTTATGGGTCACAGCATCCACTTACCATCAAAAAAAGTTCATACTCATAGCTTTGTATTCCCAAATGCTTTTACATCGGTCATTCTATTTACGTAATGTAGTATTGCAGTGAAGTCTGCTACAAATGCTTTGTTTAATGGATATAGTTTATATGTGTACAAAGTAGATATTAACGCAACTGTATCTGCGGAGATACCAAGAATCGGCTATTATATAACAAACTTTAGATGGACCATTTCCTGAAGTATTTATGTACACAGGTGGACTATGAGTACACCAGTCTTTAATCTAGTTCCACACGATAGCGCAATAGTAAGCCTGTGAGGGCACGAGCTGCACGCACCTCGTCACGCCTGACTAGCGGTGCGTGTGTAAGGGTCGGTTCACGTTGAGTGTGGACGCTGCGCTGGTCAATCAACCGAATATGTAGTTTATGTTGAAGAGTTTGTATAAGATCTAACGACAGACTTGCAAATGGAAGCAAATTATATATTACTTTTGTATTTATTGTAATAATTTTTTTAATGAGGTTGCGTTTATGCAAGAATTTTATTTGTTTTTTTTATTCCTACCGTATGAAACAATTAGACATAATTTCCTTTAAGATATTATCTTTTATTTGTTTATCTGAGAATAAACTAAATCGTTGGCTTCAAATAAAAAATAAAATTTAATTTTCATGAATATTTTTCTGGGTTATTTAATTTAAGTAGCGCAAATCCTTTTGAGGTAAAGTTTTAAAAGATTATTGTTTTCGAACATTAAGTACACTTGTTTTGTGGATCATAGTTAATCAAATTAGTAAAGTAGGTTTCTGTAAACAAATTTAAAAGTTTGCTGTTAGAGGCTTATAACTTATGAAGTACTTTAAAAGTTCTGATTAAAAAGCTTTTATTAAATATTCGTTTTAACGGTCGGAGCACACGTGAAGGAATGTTATGCTGTTTCGTATGGTGAATGCGAGAATTCAGTATTCAGGGGTGACAATGCATCTGCGGTGTGATTAATCAAGTTTTCATAAAGGGCCTTGTATCTTCTTATCGTAAAGGTAGGCTGTGTGTTTGTTTGTCGTCCCTGGTTGAGTTAAAAATAATGAGATTAGACTAGTGACAACTTAAAATATCATTAGCAGGTTAAAATCTTGGCTCTTATGGATGGTGATGTAAAATAAAATTACAGCCTAATTAAAAATTAGACTATTAAACATTAGTATTTAGAAATTAGAGGAATTAAAGGCAAAGGCTTTTAATTTCTGAGAGGGCTTAGGAAACATATAGGACTTCACATGTTTTCTCAAATATACAGGTTTATTCACGATGTTTTTCTTCACCGCCGAGTAAGTGGGAAATCAGCACTTAAATTGCAATTAACAATTTTATTTGTGCTAGTGAGGTTCAAACCCGGGTCGAAAAGAACGAAAGTTAAAGTGTGATAATTTTAAATCTAAATAACGCTACATCATTAGATCCTACGCAAGCGAAACCAGGATGGATCGCTAGTATTTTATAAAAGCTGTGGAACATCTAGGTAATAATAACTAAGTGTTATGTTATTGTACATGTACATTGATTAAGTGCCGTGAGTGTGACAAACCATAAAACAAACATAACACGTCTCAACCGCTAAGAAAGCACGTACACATTGTACTGTACAAATGGCAAAAGGCATTAGTGTTACTTTACTAAAATTATATTTGGTAATGACCTAAACATGATCTTTAATGTAAATCTTATATTTATCTCGTGGGAGTCGTAAGATGAAGAATGGGAAATTGAAACTAGAAATGGTCAGTTTGACCAGACCTTTTGATGACAACTTAATTATAATTATAAAAAAAACACTTTGACTTCGACAAATTTCACACCAATAAGGCGTATGTCCAACAGCGGAATATTGATAGACAATAATTGTGATTTTTTTATAGAACAAGTGTGACAAACGAGCATACAGTCCACCTGATGGTAAGTGGATGCTGCGGCCCATAGACATTTATCCTAGATTAAGAATCAAAATGCAGATGCGTTGTCACCTCTGAGGTTTAAGATGGAATACCTCGTTTCCAGCAAAAAAGGGGCTCCGGATCTCTACGCTCATCATACGAAACACAGCAGTATTAAGCTGCTATTTTACGCTGGTATTCTGTGAGAGCTCGATTCTTATCCGGGCGAGCCGACCTATTCGTGCTACAACCATAATATAGCTGCAGTATGACTCTACCAGGTACTTGCTCGTGGGCAACCGTAGTTGTTATTTTGAGTTGTTATTAGAAAGATGCTGCTGTATCTCCTGTTTGAATCTCCTCTGTCGCGTCTTAAGCAATTTTATAATTATATGAAATTGTATGTTCTCTTACGCTGCTTTGTTATCTCCAGATCGGTCGCGGCGGCCAGTATCAACGGTAACCAGCCAGCATGACAGGATTATAGTGCACGAGTGTGTGCACAAGTACAGATGCGCTCTCTATTCTCTCACTCTTGTACTTAGACCATTCAACCCAACAAAAAAAATTGAGTTGAATGGTCTAAGCTCTTCTAGTCCGATAGAACGGCAAATTGACGTGACGGGAGAGATATCAGGCTTAGGGCCAACGGCTTCATGGGCATTTCGAGGCACGTAGGTGAAACACCACAACTTCGGGCTGCTAGTGAGAATTTCGCGACAGATAAACCAAATAACTCATTTTGACCCGATCCGGTATTCAAACCCGGGACCTCATGATTAGTAATCGCTCGTCATGGTACAAATTTACAATATTAATTCAAACGTTGACGTTAATATTGTATACAGAAAACATTTAAATTATTTACGTCTTCGCTAAACGATGCCAAACTAGTTATCGTTAATTAACCCGCAGTCATTAATTGCTATTTTACAAGTACGACTTCCATTCATCGAGCTATTAACATTGAATCATGCTACGTGGAAGCTCCTGCGCGGAGTTATTGAACTTGTAGGCGACATACACTTTTAACTTGTCCAGCCGTAAACGTTTCCTGTCATTGTTTAAAATGTCTAGAACGGACATGTCGAATTAGTTTCGTTATTTTAACCAATTGTTCTCTATCTGTCGTTATATATTACGATAAAATATTTTATGTTAAATAAATTTGGTTATTATTATTATATATAGCGGAAAGAAAGTTTAAGTTTATAAGCGCGTTGACCTACTAGATGAAAACATACATTTTTCACAATACATTAGCATCTTCGTAGACAAAATACGAAAAAAAAACCTGAAATGAAAATAATTTAAAACTGACGTCCACGGGATGAAAAAGGGACGAACATCCTCTAACGCTGTCACCCACTTAATGATATTTACGTAAACAATACTAACTAAATACAAATTATAGAAATAATATACTATTGTTGTAACATAAACCACTTATGTGTATTTCATATGACCCTGAGAACACTGAAACGCTATTTGCAAATTACGCCTCAAGGTGTATTCAGTAATGACACTAAATTTTCTTCGACTATTTTTATTATTTCACTTTCGTTAGAAATAAAACAAAAATAAAGTTTAGTGTTGCTTGACAAATACGTAATAGGGTCGGTATTGGTGTTAATCCATTAAGAGGATAGAGTAAGTCGGCTCAAATTCTAATTTCGCCCCCACTTCCCCGCGCGTCGTATGCTATGTACCGATATGTTTGTAATCACTAATACTGTAAGTAGAAAGGTCGTTAGACACTTATTTCATTAGGTTTATCATATTTATGCCTGTTTCTTAACGCCAAGCCAGCCGCTTCTTATTTTTATCATGGTTATTTCCCATTTTAATTTTACGTCGTACTGTTGCATAATGTATATTCTGATCGTAAGCGACACAACTTCTCCCTTCAAAAGCCTAAGCGATACTAACGGTGCGACAGGAATCAAGCTCAAGACGCCGATAGTTTAGGTAATTTCTTTTTACAGTGAAAATAATGGTATTTTAAAAAAAGTAAATAACATAAGCACTGCTTTATAGTTAGTTCAGTTAGTATGCAAAGTTTCATGATCTTGTTTAAAGTATTTTATGAATAACAGCGGTTTATTGTTTATTTTGGAGGTAACTTTGGATTTTTTTTCTATCGAGAAAATTTTACGAAATCGTGTTTTCGTCTAACATAATCATTAACATTAATCCTCAACTTTACCATAAATTTATTTCAAAATTAATGCAGCAATATTTTCGGCTTAACGAAGGATCTTGCTAAGCCATTTGACATTATATTTCCCCTTAATATGCCAAGCAATAATTATAGGTGGGTCCTGTCGGTTAAGTAAACTTGGCGTCAAAACTGTGTTACTCCCATTGTTTTTATTGACTTAATTATTCCCACCTTTTCAAATGTTTTTTGTAAAATTGAATTGATAAACAAACTTATTGTTCAGCCGATAGTGAGTGGCTACTGCAGCCATTGTCCACCTGCAACCGACTTTAAACAAAGAAGGTTTTAGATGCGCCGTTACCTTTTTTTTTTATAGGATAGGGTGACAAACGAGCACACAGTCCACCTGATGGTAAGTGGTTGCTGCGGCCCATAGACATCTACATCTATACTCGATCAAAATCAAAATGCAGATGCGTTGTCACCCGTGAGGATTAAGATGGAATGCATCTTAATCCTCACGGGTGATGAATGTGAATGATGAATTTCCATTAAAAAGGGTCTCCGGTTCCCTACACTCTCCCATGGTCCTTTCCCGGTCGATCCGACCCATTCGTGCTACAACTATACTACTATATAACTGCAGCATGGCTCTACCACGTATGATGAACGATTAGACAGAAACTTAGTGCTACCTCCATCTAGCTCGGCGGAACTCTTGCTGGAATGTTATTATCCAACACTTTGCAGGGCTATATTCCGGTAATCTTGTTACAACTGTATCGTCCAGCGAATGAGTTCATAGTTGTAAAACAACATTTAGGTTATATATTAAAATACCTAGCAGTGTAAGATATAGTGGTTTTATTTTATTATCGATAAACTTAAAAAGAGAAGGGGAAGTGCTATTAACTTCCATGTTCTATAATTCAGGACGCGTATGTATTTGTTTATCATAAAGTTTATAATATTTTTATTTGACTATATCGTGACGACGAACAATCAAAACCAGAATTAAAAAAATAGCTCGAACGATTTTAATAGAAAAAAAAAGAAAATGCTTTAGTAGTTATGTTGAAAAAACATTTGCCTTCTTAGTTAGTTTGAATTAGTCATTTTGATAGAAATCTCCATAAAGGTCTTCAATATTACTACCGTCTAAACAAACTAAAATTTTAATAAATTGATATTTTTTTTTATAATGTACGCTTTTTAAATTAATTAACCGACTCGAATGACTAGAAAAGAGAAAACAGAACTGGTTAAATGGAAATTTTATTGTCTATCTACTATAAAGTGATGTTATATTAACGGCTACTGATTATACCAGGGCTTCGTTCGTTGCACTCCCACAGGCTCGGTTGGCGTGCCTGTATCTCGTTCCATGGATATTTATCGTTTCTTTGCGCCACCGCCGACTTATTATTACGTTAGCTTGGGGTAGCGAGCATTAGACGGACTATTTGAGTGCGCGGCGGTATTCCGTTGTTTGCTTGTAACCTTAATGGCAGCAGTCAGTTGTTAAACTATTGGATTATAATTTAAAAATTAACTTAAACTAAAAAAAAATAATAAAATTTCAATTAAGAACACGTCGAAGATCATTTTTTCATCTGTTTAAAACGCAACTCAGAAAAGCAAATGTATTGTAAGTTGTAACCACTCACAAAAAATATACCAATTGTGTAAAATTTGTTCTCGAATAAAAAAAATTATTTAGATATTGTTAGTTTATAGTGTGTGAACTGCATGCGAAGCTAGGTGGTAATAGTTGGTTAACGTAGTTGTTTGTCCCCAGGGCGGTGACAGATCCGCGCGATGGCCGGCGTGTGGCGCTGAAGAAGCTACCCAACGTGTTTCAGTCGCTCGTCTCCTCCAAGCGCGTATTCCGCGAGCTCAAGATGCTCTGCTTCTTCAAACACGAAAACGTGAGTATACTTATCACTTTGGGCTTGAGTCAATAGACGTCATAAAGGATTTTGTAGTTTTTTTACAGCCTATCAAAGTTAATGAATAAAGGGATGTGCGATTGTGGAACCTCTCCATATTCGTCGTGCTAAATCTCTTCACTCTTTCAAAATTCTTGTTAAATCGTATTATTTAGAACGCTATTAGATAAATTACTTTACCTTTCTCGTACTCTTTTCATTTAATCTATTATATGATATTTTATATATAAATTTCACTTATTTTTTATTTGTATGTATTATTGTATTTTTTTTATTATTATTATTTTGTATGCCCCCCTCTTTTTGTAAATTTTGTTTGCATGATTCCTCTACGCAAAAGTTGTCTGGAAGAAATCACTTTCAGTGATAAGACCGCCTATTGTACATACTTTAATTAGTTCTAACTATATTGATGTTTCTGTATTGTGGTGTACAAAAAAGAATAAATAAATAAAATAAATAAAGGGGATAATTGCTATACCTAAGTGTCACGCTTAGTAGGCGGGTTGGTAATTGGTTATTGCTTTGTTTCCCTCTATATTTTCTTACGACACCTACGGGACGATATGGCGTTATGGATATTCTATATAACCCGTCACTGCACACGGTACACACGTACTCGTAACATTTTGTGACCCTACATCTACCATCTATTAAGAATGAAAATATGCGTTGTCACCCCTGAGGATTAAGATGGAATACTGTCTAATACTTCTAATAACGTAATACGTCTGTTTCAAGCTGGTATTATGTAAGAGTGTGATCCTTCCTTGGCGAAGCAGATCCATTCGTGCTGTATCCATGATATAGCTCCTGCGGCGTCAGCGACGAATTTTTCCGCATGTGCGTGTTGATGTGCTCACTAAGAACGGATTTTACGATAGTTCCTTCAAAAATATTCTTGATGTCTTACATCTAGGTTCCGCAATTAAATATTATCGTGCGCCCAGCGAACCGAGCGGGTAACAGGTGGTACATATATATTAAGCGCCTCTATGATGCAGAAGAATTCCCATGGTAGTGAGTTGTACATGGGCAGCGGTAGTCACTTACTATCAGTTGAGTCGCATGCTCGTTTGCCCCCTCTTCTATAAAAAAAGAAGAAAATTTTAGTGTAATCTTAGAGGTAACGTTTTTTAAAGAAGAGAACAAATTTATTTGTTCTTTTCTGTGTGTGATTTTTCTGTCAGTGTCATGAATTGTATTACTTCAATGTAAAAATGTGTATCGTTACTGTTATTTGATGCGAATGCTTTTAAATTATTGAAGCCGATTGCAAACAACTGCATGGGTTGGCTTCATTATAGAATTCTTACTGTTTTACTGATTAAAATTGCGGTGAAATTAGTAAAATTCGTTGTTGATCGTTCTGCAGATTGTTTTATCTGTAAAATTATCTTAACATTTCTAATTGAACCCAATTTGTAAAATGACGAGACATTAGAATATTATCATCATAATTACTTTAGAACCCTTCACAATTCCACTGTTGTACATACATAGACTAACCCCAAGGAATGTCACAAAAATGGCGCCGAGAGACTCGTCTTTCTGCATATATTACTTGTTGAGCGTATTTCAACTTTATATCTGTAATTGTATCTCTCACTGACGCTGTGACTGATTTTAACTGTATTTGTACCCCCAACTTTGCGTTTCCCCAGATATTGTTATAATACATTTTATGTTATCATAATAAGTCATATATATATATATATATATATATATATATATTTCCAAGTCTTCTCCATCTAGTGGTAGCTATAGCTGTCCTATTGCCACTTCAGCTTACTGATCCGCGTAAGACGGTCTTCTATTACTCTGGTTCTACTGCGGATATTCTCATTACGAAGTCTATCATGCAGACAAATTCGGGAATAGCCCTTTTCATAGCCCGCTGAACGACCTAGGATTTCTCATACAGCCTTAAGTGAAGGACCGAGTCACGGATCCATATGTCATCGCTGACAACATGTACTGATTGTAAATTCTTGTTTTCAAGATTTAAGGATGCCCCGGAATCTCCTGTACGCTGTCCAACCGAGTTAGAGCTCTCAGTCGAAATTGAACTTAGCGAGTCAAACAATTTGTAATTCCTTGGTAAACATACTCGTAGACTATTTAGATCGTAGTGTTTTCAACATCTACTGGCATAGTTGTGATGTAGACCTGATCTTAGAATTGGAATCTAAAAATACATTAACCGAAAAACATTTAATAATTCATTTGCAAAGAATTTATATTAAAGATCAAGGAATCTCTAGTTATACAATACACACGCGTTCATAATTTGATTAACAAAACTCACGATTATAATAAAAATACTTTCTCTTTTATGACTTGAAAAAACAACTTCCTCGTATACTGATTGATGGTTTTAAGGTAACAATGATTGTACAATTATTATAAGTAAGTGAATTCAATTTCGCCGTTTCGTTTCAGTTTTGAACTAAATCTTTACAAATTTAAAAGTTTGCCGAGTCAATTTTTCAATCATCCACCATTTTGATTTTATTCGGCAGTCCATTATCATGATAATGTTGGCCGTTCATTATCACGAAATAATTGTAATGCGGCTTGCGTTCCAAGTAATTTATTCATTTTCACTGTGTGTTTTATCGATCGACGTGTATTGTTTGTGGTTTGTGCGCATTTATAGCCGTGTATAAGCGGGACTTGTATTCAAACGAGAAAATTGGATCGTCTGCATGACGGGCCGTATAATGTTCCCTGGCTGCCTTGTGACGAGAAATTACGCGCCACTCTCAGGTTTCATTAGAGCCTAGCGACCATTGCCGATGCCGGTGTGCGGGCCTGATGCTTGAACCGAGCTATACGTACTTCTAAACTAAATGCACGACAGACATTTCACATAACTCAAGTAAAACCTTAGTTCAAAGAAATATTACTAACTTTTTGTATTTATAAAATTCTATTATAAAATATTTAGACGTGGTAGAGCCACGCTGCAGTTATATTAATTGTAGCACGAATGGGTCGGCTCGACCGGGGTACGACCACGCTCTCACAGAATACCAGCGTTGAAATAGCAACTTAAGGCTGCTGAGTTTCATATGGTGAGTCTAGAAAAACGGAGATCTTTTTTACTGGAAACGAAGCGTTCTATTTTAGTCGTCAGGGGTGACAACGCTTCTGTATTTTGATTTTTAATCGAGGATAAATGTAGATGTCTATGGGCCACAGAATCCACTAACCATCAGGTAGACTGTGTGCTCGTTTGTCACCCTTATTCTATGAAAAAATAAAATCAAGTTTCACCTTAAATTTATTAGAAATCATTAATAAATAAGAAAATATATGTATACGACATAAACTATTCTTCTTTTAAAGAATCTTTTCTAGTAACATATATTATATTAAATGAAACATATGTTTCTTGAAAAATTTCTTAAAAAAGAATTGGGTTTATCTCGAAAATAAGCTGTTTAAATATTGACAAGAAGACAATAAAGCACCCAGTTCTACGACTTTTTACTCACATTAACTTAAATTCCTAAGGGTTGACTTTCAATCAATCAAATGACTGAAAACAAAAGCGCAACAATTGAACCATTTATTTCATTCAACTGTAAGTTTTAATTGTTTTTGTTATTTTTTGTTATAAGAACTTTAATCTTAGAATTGAAAAACCGACCTTTAATCTTTGTACGTCCAACTGCTTGACATAGTAGTCTAATTTCGAAGAAGGAAAGAGAGCAGGAGATTGAAGAGATTTCGCTGCACTGCTTGAAACAGAGCTGGCTTGCTGGCTGGTATTCACATACGTAGGTCACTCAATAAGTTTTGAAATGCTCGAAATTCAAAATGGAACGCACCCGTGTTATATGTTTCTAAATAGAAAATTTATTTAAAACCCATAAGCCAATTGTTCAATATTTAAAAAAAAAGTTCTATTAATTTTCCTGCAACACTTCCCGCGCTTTTCGTTTAAAACGATGGATCTTAACCGTTAACATTTGTGCGCTATGATCTATTATGATTATAAATTTGGTTTAACCAAACGTTTACAAAAGGCTACAATTTCAGCATTAGGGGACTCAGCTTCATCACGCGCAACAATTTTTAGGTCGTTTGCTGAATTCAAAAGGGGTAAAATTTACGTTAAAGATGACCAAAGCAATGATGCAAACAGCAGTAACGGCATAAAATGTGTGGACTACTGAAATGTTGGTGCAAGAAGACCCACGAATCACATATACGAACATCGAAAAGATTGTAGGTATTAGTTCGGAGAGCATTCATACCATCCTACATCAATATGTTGGAGTGAGGAACCTTTGTTTTTGATGGATCCCTCGTTTGCTTTCCGAAAGCGAAAAACAGACTCGTATGTATTGGTGCCATGAAATGCGTCTACGTTTTGAAAACGGGGCATCTAGGCGTGTTTCAGAAATCGTTACTGGTGACGAGACATGGATCTATCAATATGATCCGGAAAATTAAAGGCAATCATCGGTATGGATCTACACAGAAGGACGGTTACCGACAAAACTGCAAAGATTCGCAACGTCGGAAAAAAATGGTGGCTAGTTTTTTTTCGCGGAGCGGACATTTGTCGACGTCAATGCTGAAAAATTGTAGGTCAGTCAATTTGTTCAGCTTTTCAAGCTGTGCGGGAGAGAAGAACAGAGCGGACTTCGAGGAATCATGCTGCGTACGTCTTCACATACCTGCCTTAGAACAAAAGCATTTTTTGAGGAATCTGGTGTTGAAACTATAAGTCATCCACCCTACAGCCCTGACTTAGCTCGTTGTGATTTCTTTTTGTTCCCAAGAGTAAAAAAAAACATAAAAAGCAAGTTTTTTTCAAGCGCCGACGAAGTCGTGGCTGCCTATGAAGAAGTGATTTCCGACCTGTCAGATCAAGACTGGCAAAAGTGTTTTCAGAGTTGGTTTAAGCGAATGGAACTTTGTATAGAGCATGATGGAGAATATTTTGAAAATATGTACAATAAATATTAATAGTCAGTGGCGAAGCTAGAGCTCCAAGCTCGGGCAAGTCCAAGATATAAATTGATAAAAATATAGATTGTTGTTTTTAGCAGTTTTATAAAAATACACCAATCTTGATCCGTCTCCACGCTTCAGTTTCATATTCAGTGCTGTCAAGGACGTGTTTAACAAAGCACACAGAAGGCATACCTCTGCTAGATAGATTGTATTACATATCAGCAATTGCATAGCTTCGGTGGCTTTGAAGAAAGCCGTTTGGGTTTGTTTAAGCGAAAGAAAAAAAATATTTACATCCAATACAATACATGAACAAAAGTAAAACACGAACAAAGTACAAACAAACTATGTACAAAATTAAAAAAAAATTATTTACATTCTAATGGATAAGAGATAAGATAATATAAGTGGAATCGTCTCGCTTTCTTATGGAAAGATTTAATTATGTCCGCGTAAAATGTTGGTGAACGTTTTAATTGTACCAATAACTGTTTTTAATTGCGATAATTGATAAGTCTGAAATACACTCTTAACCTTGTGTATTATCTCAACAAAGTTTAAAGATTTCCTCTCCGATTATCACTTTAACACACTTCAATTCATCACAAGGAAGACTATATCCTCCATTTTCATTAAAAATCTTTAAAAAAGCATAAATTTTGAACTCGTAATATTAAATTGCTTAAGATAAGCACACAGAGTAAATAAACGTGAAATGAACTTGCAAACGTATTGCCCGCGCGCCTTCGCTTTTAACAAATTTATTCTCAAAAGCCTGGCTTTAAATCTCTATACTAATTGCTATATATACAATCGTAGTTATATTTCATTATAGAATATTTTGCCATAGGTTAGAAAGAGAGCGATCGTCTTCTCGAAAGCCCCGTAAAAAAGCCCACGCGAGCGAGGGAGACAACTATTAGCTCTATTAAAACTCATTTTTTTTTATGACAGCAGCAGTATCGATAAGGCAATACGAGGTCATCGGTCGACATGTGTCGAACAGTGGAGTGCGCGGGAAATTTGAAATAGCTTGAAACATTTTACGAGTTATTTTATTAGTTGATATTATTGATTGATTCAGGTTTAATAAGGCAAGCCCGGCTTTTCGGCTTTAATGGAAGCTTCGCCACTGTTAATAGTATCTAGAATAATTTTTGTATATTATCTCAAACTTATCGAGTGTCCTACGTGTCCTTGAAATATTTTTACTTCTCAAAGACAATGCACATATATGGTATATTAGTAAAGTGTTCGTGAGTTGCCATAATTTTCATTACATTTATTACACTATTAAATAATAATAAATAATGTATTGACTGTGTTATAATGACTTAATGTTCTTAATATATTTTTCTTTCTCTGCAGGTACTATCGGCACTTGATATCTTGCAGCCGCCTAGCCTCGATTTTTTCCAAGAAATGTATCCTTTTACTCACTACTGTCATGCTTGAGAGGTTTGGTTATTTATTGGTGCTTTTAAAACATCATGTTGTAGATAAGAGAACCTACAAGTACGTTTTAACGGTATGCCCGGCACGTTGACCTAACACATACACACGTGGACGCAACTAGGGTAGTGCTTCCGCGAAGCGGTCCCGCTCAGTTTCTGTTGTATTTTATTTATCCGCCCGGCTCTTATTGAGTTACGCTCAATGAACTGTCAGCGCATCGGGTGCTTTCTTGATTCTTTACACAAATATAATAAGTATATCTTGCTCTATACGATTTTCGCTTCTAACAGTTAAATCGCTGAATTGTGAATTTAAACACGTTTCATTGTGAATGAGAAACTTATCTGAAAATAATTATTACCACGTACTGTTTCTCCTTCTTTTGAATATATGGTATAGTATTATAACAGCTTGTTAAAATACTGCTTGAAATTTGTCTTTTAAGTTCTTGGTAGGATTTGCCATAATCACGAATGACGCTTGGCAGCAGATTGGCAACCGCAGTATTAGAGGTTACGTAATTCGTTCCTTTGACGGGAAGCATCTCAACACCAGTCTGAGAACTCTTGTCACCCTTATTGAATAAGGGTGACAAAGGAGCACACAGTTCACCTGATGGTTGTGGATGCTGTGGCTCTTAGACAATCTACTTTCATCCTCGATTAAGAATCAAAATGCAGATGTGTTGTCACTCCTGAGGACTAAGACTGAATGTTTTGTTTTCAGTAAAAAGGGTCTACGGTACTCTACACTCTCTATACAAAACACAGCACCATTAAGCTGCTATTTAACTCTGATATTCCGTAAGAGCGTGGTCCTTCCCTGGTGGAGCCGACCCATTCATGCTACAACCATAATATAGCTACTGCTTGGCTCTACATAGTGTGGCCCATTATTATTATAAATAATTAAAAATTAATTCCTATGTAAAGCCGTCAAAAAATATTTTACATAAAGATATATATTAAACACTTTGATTATATACCTGTCTATATAATCAAAGATTAAACAATAAAAATACGTTAATAAACATAAAGTTAAAATAAATATATTTCAGGCATGAAGTATTATAGTAAAATAAAGGCATAATATTGTCTTTCAAAATCAATAAATTCATTAAAAACTTTGTTAAAATATTCAAAATGTGATAATGAATAGAAATACAAGCCTAAAATATTAAATAAAATTTATAAAATAATTGGAAAATTGGTCATATAGTTATAATTTAAAATATAGGGGAAATAATAACTTCTAATAATAATAAATAAGAAGAGGGGAGCGTTACAGTGGGTAAGGTCTATATGAGTAAATTTATTTTGCACACTTTCTAGGTTCTAGCATTGCACTATAGGTACCTGTTTTCCTGTGGAGACCATATGACTGCTTTACACTCCAGATTTCTTCTTACCAATGTAATATAGGGTGATGATCACTTTAATATTCGTGAAGCCGTGAAATGTGCGATTGAAACAGTCTCGTTGATTGATGATGATGAAGAACAAGGAAGTAAAGTGAAGCTCCTCTCATTTTGTAGTGAGTGATGACTATGAAGCGATAACTATGCCGTGCTGCGCCAGTGCTTCTTGGTAGACTTCACATGTTTTCGAAACATTTTATTATTCATAAATGCGGTTTCCGTATCGATGTTTTCCTTCACCCCCGAGCACGTTGTAAACCAGCACTTAAAATTGCGAATTACAATTTCATTGTTGCCGACGGTGATCGAATATTAAAAGTGAGCATCGGGTTTTCCTAGCGTACTGTTATACTCGTAAACGCAGCAAACATTATCCCTAAGCTACGCGGTAGCTCAGCTCAAGAAGTCCAAAAATTTGCCTCAGAAGTTGCAACCAATATTTAAAAGTTTAATCACTTAGTTATTTATGTGTATGAAATACCGAAACAACCGCTTCGATCCCCACCGATTTAAATCAAATATAACTTGATTTGAAACAGGATTAATCGAGAGTGGACGCGTATTAAAAATACCAAGCCAAACGCGATAAAGGGATGAAATTGATGTTATAGTGAGATACAATTTCACGCCGTCAAATCATTTGATCGGGCACCTCTGGCCGGCGCCATTTCTCACCTGGCCTCGCTCGATGTCCAATTTTGTCATGCTTCGACACCGTCGCAATTTATCGCTTTCGTCCGCTATGATCTACAAATAGGTTGCCGTTACGACGAAATGGATATAACGTGCCATTTTTTTGGGACATTCATTCCTCACCTTTTATTTAAATTTGTAAATTAAATATCACCTTGTCTTAATAAAAACTTTCTAGGTGATAGGAATCTGGTAAGTAGTAAAGTAAAAGTAAAGTTACAGCCTATATACGTCCCACTGCTGGGCACAGGCCTCTTCTCATTTCTGAGAGGGTATTAGGGCAAGGAAGTGTCCACCGCGCTGCCCCAATGCGTGTTGGCGGACTTCACAAGTCTTCGAAATTTTTTTTCTTATTTCTCAGACATGCAGGTTTCCTCACGATGTTTTCCTTCACCGCCGAGCACGTGGTAAATTAGCACTTAAAATTGCAATTAACAATTTCATTGGTGCCAGCGGGGATCGAACCCGGTTTGCTCGCGTACTGTGAAATTTACAGCGAGCGCTAACCATCTGAGCTACCACGGCTCATTAATCATCTGGTAAGTACATTGATCTTATGTATTTCTACCGCCAGATGGCACTGTCTGTTGTGTGTGTCTGGTGAAGTGTTACGGTCTGTAGGGTACAGAGAGCTATGTTTACTGTTGTCAGTAAGGTATTCCACCTTAGTGTTTAGAGATGACCACGTCTGTAATCTTCTTTATTTAAAGTTGGTTGCAGGTGTCCATGGGCTGCAGTAGCCACATACCACCAGCTGGACTGTATGAGTTTGTTTGTCACTTCATTTTTGTAAAAATTACTTCATATTCTATTGCCCTTTGTTCGAACTATTTTAAAGCACACATTTAATGCCATTTACGAGACATCTTGTATCGTCCATGGCATTGCGTAAAAATATACCGTGTACTACCTAAAAATAGGGTCAAAGCCTCATATTACAAAAGTCTTTACGTGGTAGAGCCATGTTGCAGCTATATTAATTGTATAGTTGTAGCACGAATGGCTAGGCTCGACCGGGGAAGGACCACGCTCTCACAGAATACCAGCGTTAAATAGCAGCTTAATGCTGCTGTGTTTCGTATGATGAGTGTAGAGAACTGGAGACCCTTTTTATATTCTATCTTAGTCCTTAAGGCTGACAACGCATCTGAATTTTGATTCGCAAACGAGGATAGATGTAGATGTCTATGGGTCACAGCAGGGGCTCGTTTGTCACCCTATCCTATTAAAAGAAGTAAAATTTATTATAAACTAAATTGTTAAAAATGACCGTTCTGTGATGTCTGAAGTGATTGTCAGGTTAATTTGAAGCGTGATCAAGATTGCGTCTATATATCGCACACGATCGCTCACCCACGGTACCAGATTGGAAAGTTAATTCTCTTACGCAGCTACCATACTGTAAAACGAGTACTACAACCCATCAGAAGTCCACTGCTGCACAAGGGCTTCCCTCATACATTGCCGCAAAGTACGGTGCTGAGCTACCTGCGTCTATCCACTGCCTGCGTGTGTCATCTAATGGAGGGTCGCTCAACACTGCGCTTGCTAGTACTAGTACAATTGCCATTCGAGGATGTGTCTTCCCCATCGGTTGTCGGTTGCTATATCGCCAGCTTACTGATCCGTAAGGTTATGTCAGTTACTCTTGTACTTCCGCGAATATCATCGTAACAGACTTTATCTTATATTAAGAATTTCAGTGAAATCCTAAACATATCCCGTTCTATCGCACGCTGTGTGATGACATTGAACTTTGTTATACGATCAGCGTGAGTAGAGGACTACGTTTACATTCCGTAAAGTTAAAACTTTCGTCTTTCGTCTTGAAACAGGAGATTGGCACCAGCACCATCCCGATAACAGTTGATAATAATAAAAAACTGTCCCAGGCCTATGTTCAACAATCGAATTTATATAGATAGCAATGAATGATGAATGAAAAAAATAAGTGAATACCTACATCCCAAAATGAATATTTAATATATTAATAATACAACGAATGCGAAAGAGACAAACTATATATTGCGTTTCAATATTTATTTCGAATAGTATTATTCGTTAATAATACATACGTTAATGACACACGGTAAGAAATGGTGCGTGTTCTATTTTTGGTCTAGTAATACATCTTAAGCTCATATTTTACTGATTAATGAACACAATAGTTGATAGCGAAAATATTGCAAATGGTCCAGTTGATTGATTCGTCGAATGTATTTGATTTGATTACGATTGATTGATAAATGATTTTAATTTTGTCTCGACTCAATGACATATTCGAAATAATCGTTCTCTCTTGCTCTATTTATAAAACGTATAGGAATTGATTGAAGGATTTAGGGCGTATCTATTTAAGTGTGATTGCTCTATTTCGCTAAAGAAAAGCAAAATATATTTTCACTTTTGAGGTTGGAAACCCGATAATGTCGAAAGCTATTTAATGTTTGTCAAAACCTGAAACGTACTTTCTACTCTTATTTTATTTATTTATCGCCTTGTAATAGTCCAATGCGCGAACATGGGCTATTTTACATAAGAGGAGGCAACAACCATGCGGCTTACCTGATGGTAAGTGACCACCGCAGCCCATTAACAATTACAACACCAGGGCAATTGCAGGGCTTCTCATTTTGTAGTCAAGATTTGCCTTAATAGCCTTGGCAGTTGGGTTGACGATCGCAGAGCCAGACGTTTCGCACCTTCGAAGCTGTATGGTTGTAGCACGAAAGGGTCGGCTCGATAGGGGAAGGACCACGCTCTCACAGAATACCAACGTAAAATAGCAGCTTGATTCTATTTTACGCCGGTGTGTTTAGAGAACCGGAGACCCGTTTTACTGGAATCAAGGCGTTCCAT